AGATTCAAATGATGTTTTAAATCTTTCCTCAATCTTTAACATCTTATGGCTATGTGCTTAGGGTTGTCAAAACGACTCTTTGTTCATGAACGACTCGTATTCAACTCACTAAGAAAACGCGTCGAACACGAACACACTTTTTGAGTTTGAAATATAAACGAGCCGAACACAAGCTGAGCCTCACGAGCTGAGCCTGGGCTCGCTTGTGTTCGGCTCGTTTACACACCTAGTTGTGGGCGTGTTCTAATGGGAATATAATTAGTATACCGTAGGGTGTAAACGAGACAAACACGGTCTTAGTTTATCAATAAGAACAACACGAATGATAACCATTGTTGGCATCACTTGTATTCATAACATCACAACTTAGTTTATCAATTAAACTTCCCTCAGTCGGTCGAGAAAACATCGACATGCTTTTCTGAGAAAACCCTTCGTGGAGACCTTCTAATCCTTAGCAAGGGTTTATTCCACCCCATCAAGCAGAGGGTGCGCCACTATAATCTGACGGGCAGTCTTCGTTCGGAAAGAGATCTTCCAAGAGGTTAGAAAAGTTTCGTGGGGCGACCGTTGATCTTCTATGCGACTAACCCATAATCAGTTAAGAGGTCAGTTTCATACAATTGTTCCCCGGTTTAGGTGTATAGTTTTCTTAGCTCAAATATACTTTCCTTCTGTTACCCATTATCGACTCAATGAAGTAATGCTCGAAGGCTCGGCCTTTCTACTGTGATGATGCGGTCATTTGGTATTTTTTGTGGTGATCCATTGAATTATCTCGAGATTCCTAGCAATCTGAAGACATAAAAAATATCATTTAAGAGTGAATTGAGCCCTACTCTTCTCTCTCTTTTTTCTCTCTTTTCAATTAACGTCGCAATCCATAATTCTAAGAAGAAAAACACAAAAACAAAACTTCAAACTCGGGTTCCTCCCAACAACATTTTGATTAATGCTTCATATATTAAACGAATAATGTCCTTAAAGGTAACAGATTCGCTAGTGGTTGCTGATGAATGCAAGCATCACAAACATGGACGCAAAAGCACTAATTAACTTCATCATCTCCATTTTCCATTTTTGTTTGTTCCGAGTTGTAACATTCATTTATTTTTGTTTTGGCATTTTAAGTTAAAATTGGTTCTCCAGCCATGGCCGCCTCCCAGTTTATAGAAAACCTCACAAACCTTTATTAATCTGCTAGCACTCAACATCTTCCAATGCTTTTGGTTCATTGTTTTCTCAGCATCTCTCCCATCATCTCCATCTCCTGTAAAAAAAATATCTTTTTGCCAATCTTGTAGCACCAGAACATCATAGTAGAATTTTGATAAAATATAAAAATATCATCTTGACAGTACATCAATCGAAATGACATCACATTATGTTGATTGCTTGTGACTGCATGACATTAATAATTTTATATCAACAAAGCACTCAAGCTCCCAGTTAAACCTCAGCAAACCAGCTGTAACAACATCCCCACACATCAACAAACATCCAAAAACATTATATTTTCATCATACAAACAGTCCAAACACACTGCCATTAATGAAAGCAAACAATCATGAAGCAGAGGTCCATCTGATGCACTCCTTGTGTGGAATCTGGACCGTTCATTCGTAGCTGCGGGGCCTACCACATCACTCATTGATTCCTGAAAGTGATAGATGGCACCAAGACAGTAGTCCTCCATTAACCTGGAGAGGTGAGCTTGGTAGTAGGCAGCTGCTGCTGTAGTGGAGACCAATTGGTGTCTTTTGCTTATAGGTGCAGCTGTGTGGCAGTGTTCGCATCTTCTCCTGTTAAATGTGTTGATGGGACGACATACCCAACTATCAATGGATTGGATTTCAGTTGGGGCCATATGGTTTCTTGGCTTGGCCTTATGTAATCATCTCTCTTTGCTTCTGTGGTTACAATGGACTAGAGATTTTTGACAAGTGAATATATTGATTGTATTATTTGGGAAACATGTCTGTAGTTTGATTCTATTTTCTATGCATATGTTGCAATTAGTAGTGGAGCTCAATCTTTATCATGGAAAGAAAACTTGATTATGTACTAACATATACTTCTCATGTTTCTAATTGGATCATTTAATTTGCAACATTTATGAAAATAAATTTGATATTTTTATA